CGGCGACGCGCCCGCCCGGCCCCCTCCCCCGGCGCCGGCCAAGTGAGGCGGTGATGCGGGCGCTGGCGGCCTGGGCTGCGCCGAGAGCGGAGACACAGGCTCAAGATGGCAGATTCCCACTGAGGCTGAGGGGGCCGAGCTCGCGCGCCGTGTTCCCTTCTCCGTTGCCATGAACCGCGGACACCCCGGCCCCGATGGCCCCCGTGTACGAAGGTAAGCGGCGCCCGGCCCGCGCCCCCCGCTCGCTCGGCCGGCCGCGGCCCCCGCAGCTTTGTTCTGCCCGCGGCCCCTCGCCCGGCAGCCCCCGGCCGCAGCGCCGGGCCCTGGCCGCGGGGGCTCGCGACCCTCCCGGGGGCCCCCGGCCCGGGCCCACACGGCCCGGAGCCGGCCCGGGGCAGGGTCTCCTTCCAGGGCGGGGAAGGCGGCTGGGGGGTGTGTGCCGGTGGGCTGCTGCCCAAAGAAAAGAAATGGGGGCGGCGTGTGGGAAAAAGACGGCTCCGCGACTGCTCTCGGTTGCGATAAATGAAGGTGATGCCATCCTCCCCCATTACCTTTAAGCGATCTCCTTTCTACTTGTCCGTCCTCTCTGCGCCTCTTTCCAAACAGCTCCGCTCCCAGCCCACACTCCTTTATTCTTCCCGAGCCTCCGATTTTTGGGGGGTGGAGGTGGCGGCGGCTGTGGAATCCGATTGTAAGGGGCCAAGCGGCGAGAGAGGGGAGAGATGAAAAGTCCATTTCAGACCCAGGCAGAACAATGAAATAGGCTCAAAATTTCCCCGCAGTTGGCGTGTGGAAGGGAGAATGGAGTTTGGCTTTTTATGGGGGGGGGGGGGGGGGGGGCGAAGGAAGGGTTTCTGCCTCGGCCTGGGTAGATCGGGGCCGTGCGCCTTCACCTGGCCTTGGCCGATTTCCCCCGGCTGACTGTCCTCAGAAGAAAGAAAAGGTAAGGCGGTACAGCTGCCTCGCACGCTCTTTCGGTTCTCCTCCGGCAGTTCCGTCAGCTTGCAGCGAGAAAACCAAACCCGAATCAACTAAGTTTTTACACTTCTTGTGTGTTTTTGTGTGTTGGTAGTACGGGGGATCTTTCAACCAAAGTGTGCCTGATTTTTTTTTTTTTTTTCAGTTATTTCATCGTGAAAATGTTTCTCTCGTGAAATCATCCAAATAGCAGCCTTTTACGGTACTTTTAGCGTGGGTTCATCTGGCTTTCTTTTGGTTTTGTTCAGATATTCTGTGGATGAAATCGCAAATGAGAGGGAAACGGCTTTGCCAGGAATCAAGAGGAGGGGCGAGGGAAGATTGTAATCCTATAAACCCCGGGAACTGTTGGGCCGAGTGAAACAGGGATCTCATTAATAGTTTTATCTCTGTCAGGAGAGGCTGATTAAAAAAAAAAAAAAAAAAAAAAAACTTATCTGAAAAGAAAATCTGTTATTAGTTCCAGGCTCCAAATGAATTAGGTTTCTGTATGAAATAAAGTTACCTCTCAGGCTCCGGATAACGAGCCTGTAAATAACCTATGGACTGTAAATATTTTTTCCAAAGTCTTTTAGAAACAAAGGGGCTGTTTAGAGAGCAGCAGAGAAATGTTATTCCAGGGGCTTTCCTCTTTGATTCTGAAGAACACAAGGTCCATTTAACCGTTCCACAAAACAAAACAAATTTCTCATCAGTCCACCACGCAGAATAGGAACATGCCAGTGGAGATGTGAACATGAAGGAGAGCCCATGTCGGGCATTCATTGTTCATCTGTGTCTAGGGGAGGGGGCTGCAGTCAAAGCTTCCACTGTCTAGAGTGTTAAAATTAAACAGTTTTCTCTTTATTAAGTACCTCCTTGAGACTCCCTCTGCTGGACACTCGGGGTGAGCATTTTAGAAGGAACTTGGCATTGAATTCACAGCTAATAGAGGAATAAAAATTGCTCTTTTAGGGGGCTGGGTAGGTGGGTTGGGATGTGTTTTGTCAACTTTGTGCAAGGCCACCTTGGGAACTTCATTTTTCATGTTATTTCACTTGAAATTCATGAGAATGTAGGCTATCCCTGGGGTGCTAGCACCTAGCCTGGTTGGTCCTAGGACCTTGTTCTTTTACTGATTGTGTCATAGAAAGAATTACAGGTGTGTAAGGTGTTTCAGTGGAGGACTGTAGAGCTCAGGGGTCTCAGATCAGAGTTTTATTTGCCCTACTCTATTCCAGACAACCCTCTTTCAACCCTGTTTTTTTTTTTTTTTTTTTGAATCTTCTCTGTGGGTTCTCTTAACTGTTTTCTTTTGTTTGTAGCTTTTTATTCTATGGGAGCATCTCTTTACATCTTCATAATTATTTTCCTAGTCCTGCTCAGCACTGCTTCTCTATCAGCCCAGAATCACTTAGCCCAAAGCTCAGGCCTGGTCTTTTTAAGGATAGTCTGTTAGGCGTGCTTTGAGACAGATAAATGACCTCCGTAGTCAAGGACCTACATTCACTCACAGCGGTGAGTGTGTCCAAGACTACAGTGACCTCTCCCTCGACCTCAGTGGCAATCTATGGATTCAGTGAACCTCATTTTTATTACATTTCAACCAGAACCCAGGGACTCTGAGAGAGAGAGACAGAGACAGAGAGAGAGAGAGACAGAGAGAGAGACAGAGGGGGGTGTCTTAAATGAGCAGGGCTTTTTCCTGCAGATTTTACTAAGAGGAAGTATTTTTCCTCCTAATAGTTCCACATGATTCTTCTCAGAAGTCTGATGACACGTGAGACGTTTTTAGCTGGAATTTCTCAAATGGAGCGTGACTGGAATATCGAGTGAAGGCTGGAATGTAGACATTTAGATAGGAGTGCTGTTTTTTAAACAAAGCATATTTGGTAATATGAATTAATAAGTGGCAAAGTGTAATCAGTCTTCTAGGACTGTCTTTAAGAATAGGTTTATAAATATCACATTAGTTTTCAGTCACTTGATACTGATCAAGTTAAACTTCTTCTAAAAAAGGGGGGGAAGGTATTTTCTTTAGAAGGTTAAACATTTGCCTTGTGATTATATTTTTCCATCAACTTGCTTACCAAGGCCTTTTTTGTATGTAGTGCAAAGGTCAACCACAGGGGTCCATATATCTATGGGTTCCCAATTAGAGGGACCTAAATTCCGTGTTAACGATGTCGCACTTACTTGAGATGTGGATTGTTGATGAGAGTGAAGGACCAAAGACCCTTTCACATTCAGACTTGTAAACACTGCCATGCTCAAGTCCTCATCAGATGGACCCGAACACCTGGCCACCAGGGTGCAGAACAAGAAACAAGATTCTGAATCATTTTCCCTCAAAAAGATTTTAGGGTGCATCCTGGGTAATATGTTTGCCTGTGTTTGTGTTTTACTTTTTAATTGAGTAAGTGTAACTGTTGTTTTCCCTTGTTACATTTGAAGAGTGAATCAAAACTCATTGGTTTTATCCCTGATACTGGGTAGGGTGGTGGACACTTAAATCAGAGGAACTGGAGTTTGAATCTAGCTTATGACCTTGGTATCCTACTTCTCCGAACTTTTGGCCTTTACTGGATTGTGTGAGGACACTGTTAGAACCTGGTACATTTAGTAGAGTCGCTGCCTAGGGCAGGCATTTTCTCAGTCCTCCTGTCTTCCAAGTGCTTACAGGCTTGATGACTCCAGGAAAAGCAGAACCCTCAAATAGTTTAGAAAGCAAGCAACATTTCAATTTCAATTATTAATCTCCTGCTATTCCTTTTCTAGTTTGGGAACCAGCAACAATAAACCCCCATGGCCACAGAAGAAAGCATTTTTTTTTTTTTTTTTTTTACTCTTCTGTGACCTTTCCAGAGCCTTTATTCCCATCAAGCTTCTGCCGGTTTCAAGTAGAGAATGTCTCTTCCATAGCAGCACTTTTGTGCCATGTTAAAAATGTGCAAACAAATAGTACGGCAGAATTTCAGGGGCTTTTCAGCTGTGTTCCTGGAAGGTATCCTTAAGAATGAAAGATAACCTTTGCCCTTATCAAGGACCCATTCCTACACAAGACGGCAGGCTGGATAAGAAGTCCCCAAAGGTTGCTTACTAGTTCTTCTTAGAGGAGAGGCTCCTACCCAGCCACATGCCAGAGTCTGCCTCATTAAGCAATTAAACATGAATTTCTTAGCAAAGAAAACGGAGAGCTTTATGCAAATTATAGCTGCTTACATCCTTCATAGTTTATGTTTTGTGCTCCTTTTTTTCTTTCTTCCTTTCTCCCATAGAGATCAGTCTTAAGGATCTACCTTTGCGGTTTGTGTGGAACAAAGTAGTGATGATCAAGAGGGTAGAATATGTGTGCATTTCTTATTGTTCTCAGAATGCACGCTTTGCTAGTGCTTTCTTGTAGCCTTAGTGTGACGATGCAACCGCTTGGGGTTGCAGTCAAAGGCCGGATTCAGAATACAACCAGCAGACTTTGTGCCCAAGCTTATAATAGCTCCATTTCATGTGACAATACCTTGTTGAAGGAGGGGAAAATACAACAGAAAATTGAAAACCCCGAGTACAGGAAGATCTTTATTTTTTTCTTTAAAAGAAACTGAGAGTCTTGGGGGTTGATGCTGGTGAGTATGAGTTAGGCTGTGATTTGGGCCATGTATTTTTATGTTGCCTCTACTCTCTGAACTCCCTATTTGTTCCCTCATTCCGCAGACCAGGGTGCATCTGTCATGTATTCTTTCAGCAAACATTTACAAAGGCTCTGCTGTGTCCTGGGCCTCATGGCAGGTTCTGTGTTTGGAGAAATGACAAAGACTTGGCCTCTGACCTCTGGGAGTTCAGGAATAGGGGAAGTGAAAGTTAAAGTATTTAAACTCTGCACAGACTCACTGGGGACTGTGTCTGACCCAGATGTAATGGTGGTTTGTTTGTTTGTTTTGTGTGTGACAGTTCTTACATGCTTTTGTTTTCTTAAGGTATAAAGGGAAGACCCCAACTTCTCTTTTATGTTGATATGTTTTCTTTAGTTGAACTAAAAATTTTTAGATGATTTTTAAAGCTTCTCATTACAGATTTTCTTAGAAATTTCTTATATATTACCATAAATTTTGCAGGGAATGCTGCTTTCCTCTTTTATTCTTTAACTTTTATTGCATATGCTCATCAATACAAACACTGTTCTCACATGCACATGGTGCTGGAGTGCTTTTTGGTTTTTACTTTTAGAGTTGACACCTGTGTGGTGAATGGTTCTCCCATCC